AGCTATTGGTGAGGATTGGATATTTTGATATAGCATCCAATACAATGTTGTATATGTTTATATGTATAATGAGTATGACATATCTTTACTAAAGCTGGGACAAAGCAGGGATTCGTTTTTTAAAATGTAGGAATAATCTACCAGCTCATTGTTTAATAGTAAGCATACTGATTCAAAGGGGTTTCTAGAGTCTTATTAACTATGAAATTAAAAGTTATATTTATTCATTTAAGTATTTTCTTTACTTTTAGGTCATAAAATAGCCTACCCACACTTTCAGGTTTTATGTTTCTATTTTTCTTCTTTTTATATCAACAGCACGTTCCTCTGTGTATGTTTACCACATTACCTTTTTTATCACCAGTAATAAAATTAATTGGAAACATATTCAGCTTAAGAGCTATAGTCAATGGTGTTGTCAAGTGATTATGCTTCCTTAGAAGTAGGATGTGCTCTTCTAGTGGACGTGACTGACAGTAAAACAATCTCTAAAACTGTGTTGTGCCAGAGTTTGGTTTTCTCAGTACCTCAATTTATTACTTATTTTTACTCAATAGCAGAAAACCTAACCTCATCAATTCTGAGTATTCTTACCTTAACCCAATGATCTCTCCATTGAGTTTTCCCATTTGGAGATAAAACTTCTTCTCAGATTCTTGCCTCACTTTCTCCCTGGGGTTTTCTTTCTACTCCTAGAGTGAGTCACATCGCAGAAGGGGTTGCTGTCTGATTTTTTTGGTCTTGCCATTGCAACCCTATTCTGGCCTTTGTTTCCAAGCATATTCCCTCCTGCTATTCTGCCCCTCTATGCCTTCTCTGTACCATGTTCCCCCTGTTTAACTTGAGTTCAGCTTCTTAGTGTTTGTGATCCTCCAAGATGCCCAGGCCATTTCTTCTACCATTGGGTACCCACAACCTAGCTATGTAACATACTAACAAGCTCACCAGAACTTTTTCTAAGCTAATGTTCATACCCTCCTTGGAGAGCCCATGGAAAATTTAGGATCCACAGAGGGAGAATTCTCCAGGGTTTTCATGCTTTGACACATGCTGTTGCTATCTCTACTTCTTATTTCCAGAGTCTTTGCAAAAGTTGAACCTGTGAAGCTATTGCCTCCCAAAAATCTCAGTGAGAAAATGAGGAAATGAGTTTTGGTGCCTTGTTAAACAGATTGTTCACATTTTAAAGGGAGATCATATTATGATCTTTGTTGACCAATATTTCTCTCCTACTTCTAATTATCCTAAATTTCTTTTTCATGTTCTTACTTCTTTTGCACTCTTTCTGGGTCTAGGTTTTTGTTTTTTGTTTTTGGTGGTCAAGGGGTAGTGGTGATAGAAATCAAGTGAGAACCTGGGTCCATGACTGACATTTCCTTGTAGGTTTTTCTCCTAACCAAATGCCAGACTCTCGAACTCTGACGCCAGCAGTGTGATGTTTTTGTTTTCAGGTTCATTTCTTGCAACCGCCTCCCAGGCCAAATGGCCACCTCATGTCTTCAGTGTTCACAGTGGGGAAGTTTGGGGATTTGAATATCAAAAAACATTTCAGTTAATATGACATACTCAGTTGCATGATTAAAATACATAAAAATACATCTGAAGTGTGACAAACTACTGTGTAAACATTTACTATGTCTTAGGAAAAACATTGCAGATATACAGTTTAGAACATCATCACTAAGACAGCTATTTTGTTAATCCCAATATCAGTTCTGTTAAATAAAAGTGTTCAAAACAGTGCAAGAAGAATATAGAAATGCATTAACATTTCCTTGAACTGATTTTATGAAGGGATTTTGACTTGAGGTGTTAGGGAAGCGTAGGCTAGTGTCACAGCCTACGGCCTATATGGTCCATATAGAAGGAGCCATATACATTGTGATTAAGACTAGGGACTCTACCTTGGAGTGCCTCATTTTCAATGCTAGCTCTATTGTTTGATAGTTGTATGACTTTTCATAGTTTCAATTTTCTATTTGTATAATGGATATTATAGCATGATGAGTATCATTAAACAATACATTTCACATAAATCACTTAGCACAGTGCCTGGCATATTCAGCCTGAAGAAAATGTTTGTTAACATAATTTTTATGATGTTTATTTTCCTTTCTACCGACAATCTCGTTGACTAAGTGATAAAGCCAACCTGGGTTACAAGTATCGAGAAGATATAGATGAGTGGTTTCAGACAACCAATGGGGAGATTTCAGGATATGTTATGAATTTATTTTATAGACGTTTAAGTTAGGGAAGTGAGAAAGCAAGAAAGCCTGAATAGGAACAAAGTAACAGCAGTGGATTTTTCTTCGGGTAAGAAAATGTAGAGAAATCCTAAATATATGCAGATCACTTAAGGATCATGGGTTAATGATATATGCAGCCCACAAAAAATTCACGGATTAATAATTTTTGTTCTCTTTAATCCTTATTGGGAAAATTCAATGTACTGGGTAGCTTTTTAACATCCTGATCTACCCATGTCAATTGTGTAACAATAAAAAAAAATCCTGCTTCTATGTTGCAATTTAGTAGTAGTAGGGCTTGTTATTGCTTCTGATTGTTCATTTTCTTGTGCTTTATTTATTCCTATTTTGAAATTTACAGGTATGAATACCTAGTAATTAAAGTAAAGGTTTTATTAATGTGTCTTCACCAAGAAGGAGCTAAAACATAAGACCACATTAGATATTTAATGCATTTCAGGTCATAGATGAATTGATTTTTTTAAGGTAATGCAAAGACTTGAAAACAAGAACAAAAATGAAGAGATGAAGTTATGATGAGAAAATGCCTTATGTTATTCTGGTTGGAAGATTTAGGGCTATGTTAAGTAATTCGATTCTTGTCCACAGAAAAAGGCTAACACGATTTTGAAAGAGTCGTATGTCTTTGCAAAGGAAACTAGGGATTGCTTTTATTTAAGGGCGGGGGGGAGACACTGAAACCGCTTGATGATTCCAACACTATTCATGACTTGCAGTGCTGACATTCTATAGATTGATGGAGTCTTCAAGTGTGGAAATACTGAGTCATACAGAAGATGAGACATTTTAATAATGAAAAAAATATTTATGCAGTCAGCAGATTGTCAGTTAAGGTGGTTTAGATTATAAGTCACCCAACAGAGACTATGGTAGGTTGTAAATTATTCTAACCACTCAATCATCTGAAAATGCATAAAGCAAGCTTAGAGAGAATTAGTATACCCCAAATACTTTTATTTCTTGCTCTTTCCCCTCTTTCTCTCCTTTCTCCTTATCCTTTTGTTTTGAAATGGGGGTGAGGGGGAAATTGTGGATTATGTATCTAAGCATAATAGTAGTACACATAAAAAAAGAATTAAGGTGGAACTAATCTTTCTTCAAAATTGTTATATTTTCCTAATATACAAATGGTACAGAATGAAGACAGAGACATGGTTCTGTGAGTTGCTTCTTTGTCTCCTATTTGTTTTCTCTCCCTTTATGGAGTCTGTTTTATAAATTGTCTTTATGTCTCCCATCAATGACTGACTAATCGTGTCTGTTTTGTAATAATACCCATTGTTTTATAAAATTCTTTGACAAGTTGGAGGGACAGGAAATTAAATCACTGCAGCTGTTTTGGTAACAATTACAGTTGAAAACCACACTGGCTCATTTAACAGTTCTATTTCTGACATCCAACCCAGATTTAAACAGTTTTAGATCAAGGATCGAGGAGACAGCTTGTGATCCTAGCACCCACACAACAGCAATCAGGCTGCATTTCTATCACTTATTTAATAGCCTACCCTTCATATTTTGGTACTTGGTTTTAAACAAATTAAGAGCGCCTTGACTGGTGTGGCTCAGTGGGTTGGGCATCATTCCTGCAAAGTTTAAGGTCACCAGTTTGATTCCTGGTTAGAGCACATGCCTGGGTTGCAGGCCAGGTCCCCAGTTGGGGGCGTGGGAGAGGCAACAGATCGATGTTTCTCTCCCTCTGTTTCTCCCTCTCTTCCTTTCTCTCTAAAAATAAATTAATAAATAAAATATCTAAAAAAAAAAATAAACAAGTTAAGAGCTACCATTATTCTGATTCTTTACAAACAGTTATGCCCCCGGACAAAAATAAAGGAAACTGAAGAAAGTGACCTTCAAGTGGGTGTAACTTGAAGGAGCTATGCTAATTACTCATATCAGAAATTAGTCAATTGACTTATGAGTACCCAGTCAGAGTTACATTTTTTGTTTTGTTCCCTCTATGATAAACTTCTAATTAATTTAGCTATGAGATGGAATTCATACTTGCTCACATATTTTCCTTTTGTCACTATTATTTTAAATTTACCTGTAAATTTTATTTTCTTGTTATGAAGTTTGGATATTTGTAAGCTATCTTAAATATTTCCTGGAGGGAGATATGATAAAAAGTATTAAATTTATAAGTAGAATATAAGTTTGTGCTATTAGCTGCGAACAAACTACGTCTCTTTTGTTGTCAATACTAGATCCAGTTTTTAACCATATCTAATTGTTCATCATAATTCATAACAATCCCACAATGGAATACATTTCAAAATAACAAAAAGAATTTATTCACTATTTTAGTCCAAAAAGTATCACTTTTGTTCTGAAATGTATTAACTGAAGTGCTGCCTAAATGCCCCAAAGATTGGTTACATTATTTTTCTCCACTATCAGCTCCTTTTAAAATTATAAATAAAATGGGTTATTTTATTTTGTTTTTTTATTCACTCATATTCCAATGAAAATAAGAACCACAGTAAAGAATTTGTATTGTACAAATAGCTCTGCTCTGATCTAGACGTTTTGTCACCTTTTGGTTGACATTTTGAAAATTTTGAGCTCAAGCACAGAATTTCCTTAGAGATCAAGTGTTCCTCAGGTCATACCTCACAGTTGCCTAGATTGTCTTTTTGGTTTCTGTACCCAATGCGTTGTAGATTATGTCCATTTTTTGAGTGCTACATATATGAATGCTTTCATTTTTCTCATTGTCACTTTTTTTAGGTCTACAGCACCAGGACAAGAGCAAGGAATCACCATGGTACTGAAACACACAGTTTCAGTAAGTGAGATTGGAGCGCACTGGGAAAAGATGCTGCCAGGATTTCCCATTCTGCAAGGGGACCCAGTGGACATGGGAGGAGAAGAAGAAGTGTCAGCCAGCTGACTTTCGTTTGGAGCCTTTTCTTGAGAAAGCAGAGTGGGTCCGAGACATTGAAGAAAAGCATTTTGTTTTTGTTTTTGTTTTTCCCCTCATCTGAGCCTCTGCCAGCTGTGCAACTCTCTCTCTCTCTCTCTTTTTTGGTCTTGCTTTTATCTTTTGATTTTTTTTGAACCAACCAGCTTGTCAGGAAAAGATGAACCACAAATGAATATGCTCATTCTTTCAGGAATACAATTTTATAGCTCTATGTGCATCTATTTTTGTAGAAATACAGAAAGTTTGATTTAGCATTGATGGGCTATTTTTGAGGGATGTATTTTTTTTAGTATTGTAAAAATTGTTAAGTTCTGTTTAAAGAACTTGCTCTCAGATAAGCACTGGCAAAAATGTGTAAAATGCTTGTCTTTAAGATGTCTGTGATATGCTCTGTGCTTTCTAGGTTACCTCAAGTGTTTGATAGTTTATCCCTTTTTACAAAAGTAGCACCATAGCCAAGCCAATATAATATTGTATTTCATTAAATCTCAGTGAAGATTTAACTCCTTGCTAGCTTACTTAGCTTTGAATTATATGTATAGCTTGAAAAGGAACTTTTTAAATGACCACACTAAAAAAGAATATTTCATTACAGTTCTTTGATTTCTCCCAAAGAGTACTTGTAGGTTGATTTAAAAAGTTTTGCATAAACTTACAATCAGATGGAGTGTTTGCATAGAGTATGTAATTCCCTTTCTAGTCCATCTGACTTTGATAAGAGAAATCGGAGTTTATACCAAACTGTTGGAAAAAATGCATTTAACCATGGTACCTTTGAGTGCCAGTGACTTATTTTTCTTGTTCCTAATTTTTCATTCATGGCAATTTTTAAGGTCATATTTTAAGTGTTTTTTTTTTTCCTGGAGGTAGTTTGAAGGGATAATATTTAGGAAGGTACTAGAATATTACAAAGCCTTTAATTCAATGGCTTTTTCTGATAATAACCTATCATTACCTATTATCATGAATTGAAAACTAACATATATGTAATATTTTAAACATAGGTTTTTGCGAGATTTTTTTGGTTTAAATCTGATTTATGTGATTCAATTCTTTATAAGAAAAAATGTAGGGCAAAATGAAATTTGGATTTATACCACAATAACTGAAATTGGGTTAATAAATTGACTATTTGTTGTTTGAAATCATTGAAAGCCTCAGATTCAAGCTGACATGCCCCTCAGAATCTAAATAAGGTGAAGGTGGCATTATCAGTATGACCCTGCCAAGAAAAGATGAGGAAAGTAGCAGTTAATGATATTTTAAGGACTTTTAATGCAAAAGTCCCTTCTTTTTTTCCTTTTTTCCAGCTCTTTTTAGAGGTAGGTCATATTAAAAAGTTAATATTATAAAGAAGTTTTTGTTTGATAAAAAAGTTTCTCAAATTTTTCCCACCCTTGTCCTCACACATGTGAAATACAATGTTTAATGAAATACCACTTTTCATCTTAAATGTGTATATCATATATGTGAACAGTATAGGTATAAGAACAATACAACCCCTGCTTAGCTAGGCAGAATTCTCTCACATACTTTTCAAATACTTCTCTTAATTGTATTTTATGTACTAGTTTTATTTCCTGGTGCATCTCATGAGTTATAAATCTATACAATGTCTTCTTGTATTCTTATCACGCTACATACATTGTTTCTTCTTAATCAGACTCTCCTTAACACACTGCACATTTTTACCTAATGTGAAGTCCACTTTTAGGGTATCTTCCACTTATTAATAACATGAACTTAGGTTTCTAGAGCCTGGCTTGGTTAAATTATCTACATTTTGATTTAAAATTTGATATGTTGTGGTTGTTTGTCATTACCTAAATCTGTGGAGCACAGAGTTGAATGAATCTGTAAAACTGATTTGATCTTGCATCTTCCTGAGTTTTCACAGACAAGTATTTGGTAGTTCCCATGGGCTAACTCAACGAAGGTTATTTATTTTTCTCTTCTTCCCTTGGAATTTATTAACTTTCTGTGCAGTTTCTCTGAGAATGGTGTTGTATTCCAGCTCATTTAGATCATTCAATAGGATTTTCCCAATTAAGAGAAGAAAAGAAAATTATTGACTCTCTGCTGTTTTCCTTATTCTCCACTGAACTGAATGGAAGGAGAGAGAATTCACAATGAGATAGCTTCATCCTGAATTGAGGCTGTGTTCTGAGTCACTCCTGACAACCATACAATAAAATATTTCGTGGCTCTGAGGCCCAAGAAAAGCTGGGGACCTAAATTCTGCCGTACACAGGCAAGATTTGTAAGCGAGAACGGGCCCAGGTGGTGTTGGCATAGCAAGGATTAGATCTTTGCATATACAAGGAATGGATCAAATCGAAGTAAAAAGAGAATGAGTGCATGTCTATAATTGCCTGGCATCCCCTTGATATGATCATATTACTGTTACCATCAGAAGGTGTATACAAGAGGATGAGTTGGAATTGAGCATGATATTCTGAATTTATTTTAAGTTTAAAAAGCTATCACCCTCTGGGTCTGGTTTTTTCACATCAAAATGATGCTGTTGAACTTAGAGTTTTCTGAAGTGCTTTACTGAGGTCTACCACTTCCCTCCTCAATTTCATGTGCAACCACTCTACCTTGGACAATTTTGTAAGTTATTCCAGCTTTCTAAAGATCTGTGAGCTAGACTCTAGAAAATTATCTGATTTATTTTGACATCTAATCTATGCTTTGATCTAAACTATCATGAGTTAAAGAACAACATAATACTGACAAGTTCAATCCTAAAGGGTTATTGGTCCTTCACTGTTTGTTTGAAAGGGGTTCTAAACTTTTTAAGAATCCATGTTCCTTTATAAGAAGGTTAACCATCCACTCCTAACTTACTCCTTTATTTTTTTTCTTCTCATTTCTCTTAAAATTATTTACAATATTATTTTAAGCAAAAATGGCCAGGATTGCCTTGGATTTTGCAAATGAGAACTAGTGGGTGACAAATAATTGAGGAATTAATTTCTTTAACTTTATAAAAAAAACTTTAAAAACACAAATTCTAGACACTGACATAAAACATGCCATTGAGGAGCTCATTATTCCTGATGCAAATAGTATTTGCCTAAGCTTATTCTAAGACCTGTAGAATATATGACAGACTCTATCTAACTCTTACATTTACTGTCTGGTTTAATGCTATATTTGTAATTTAAAGGAGCAATCAGAAACCATATTTCAAGAAACTGCATTCTATTTCTTAATGAGTGTCCCTCTGTTAGATAATATTTGCTAAGTCAGTCAATGGGGCAGTGGTATCAAGTGGTGGAAGAGGAAAGTATTTATGTTAGAGTTCTCACATGGGGATGAATAGAGAAGTAGAATGAATTAATGGAGAAGAGCATTGAGTTGAGCATCAGGTCATTCCGTGAATTTTGGCTTAGCCACAATTAGATGCATGTGATTTGGGGTTTCATTTATTTGTCTCATGAGTGAAGTGGGATAAAAATACCTACTGGCTGGTGGTGAAGGTTGAAAATGACATGTATGTATATAATCAATCATCAACTCATAGTAGATGTTCAGTAAATGACAGCTGCCACAAATGTCTATCCGTTGAGTAAATAGATCATAAAACTGAGCTCACCAATGTCCCCTCTCTTGACTTTCCATACCCATTTCTGCAGCAGTGAAAATATGATTGTGCTTTTCTGTAACAAATTAATGCAAGAGATTCTGCCTTCTACTAGGTATTGAAGATAAAATGTAAATTTCTTAAGTGATATTTAAGTGTTCCATTTATGAAGGAAAATAACAGTGGTATGTAGGTTCAACTCTGAGTTTTATTGCATGTTCCAAAATTGTGTTTATCCAGGACCCTATGGATTATTTTCTCCAAAATTAAGGCAAACTGCTTCATTAAATGACCAAAGTTTGTATTTTTCAGTTATATTTTGGGCTTCCTTAGCACCTGGAATAAAAACATCTTTTTTGAAGTTATTCAATTTTTTTCTACTTGCCTTGGAGGAAAAATTGCAAAATATGGTGGAAAAAATTGTCCACATGTAGAGGAGAAAAAAGAAAACCATTTACGATCTCAGTCAGCAGATTTACTCTGCTTGAGAAAAAAAGAAACAACTTTAACAACTTTATTGGAAGCAGATGTTGACACTGTGTCAGTTATTGAAGATGGAAAGTGTTCAGTTGAACCATTGCGGTTACAAAGGAGTATTGATGGCAGTTAGAATTCCTGTGATTGATCACCTTCACAACAGACAGGACAGCAGAAAGCAGGAACTGTTTGAGACCAAGAGAGCAATCAGCCTGCCAATTTTAATATGCAGGATCCTATGGATGCAGTTGTGTTTTATTCTTTCATCCAGGATAAAAGACACATCTTTTAGAAAATTTAAGGCTTTTGAGAGAAAAATTAAAATTTATTTCCTAAAATCATGACCCAAGAGTCCTTTAAATCTCGTATTAAAACATTAAAAGTATTATTAAATTTGTTATAGAAAAAAATAGGTTAAAGTTTTAGTTCAATAATGTATGCCAAGGATGAGTATGTAAACTACACAGAAGTGGGTGACTCTGGAGATTGGGGTGTGGGTGGAGCCTGCAAGGAAACCTCAGTCTCAATAGCTTCAAAATATTAATTACCTTAGTAACTTGGTCATGGATATTGGTCACAGAACAAACTTTGTAGGTCTTTTTTTTGTTTAGTGCTATCTGGGAATATTATCCCATACACTTTTCCAAAGGATAGAAAGAGCCATTATTATTAAAATATCTTAATTTTTTATTTCTTTTATTGTCCATTGTGCTTTTTCTTGTTTGTGTGAAAAATATTTTTATAGTTTTAAATAATTGGTCAAACTAGTTCTCTTGAAATTGCACATGAATTCAGTCTGATAAATTTATCTGAACCCCCTTTTAAAATTCCAAGGAATAGTAAGTGTAATTTGCCAGTTCCATTGTGTAAGTGAGTGATGACACTTTAAAAAAGGGCAGGTCACCATCCGTTAGCTTCCTTCTGAACAGTTTTTGGACTACTAAATTTTGACCTAAGGATAATTCTTTTAGTATACAAGATTCTTTAATTAGCTTTTATGGTATATGCATAAGATGTGAACCTTTTAAATGATATCCCTTTATACTAATTAGGTGTACATATTTTCTTATGTGTGGCTGGCACAAAAATTAATAATGACTGACTTGATTTAATTTCTTAGGATATTTACAACCTCGGATGTTATACCTGATTTAAAAATATTCCGTGCATTTTTCTGGGTATACAATAGAGGGGATGGTTTTCCTGTGAATTCTTTGTATTATTTTACAGTGCATATGTTGAAAGGAAAACACAGATTCAATTTTTTTCATCATATAGCTATAAGTAAAATAATATACTTTTATAAAAAAATTATGTAGTATGGTAAACATATTTGTCACTTGATTAAGTAAACTGAAAGATAATGATAGAAATACCTTACAATCTTGAAATACAGTGAAATTACAAATTTGTTACTTTTGTGAACAATTTCATTCTACCTTAATTTTAAATTTCCAGAAAGACAAATTAACTAATACTAGACATATTGTCATTCTTAATTTACATAAGAATATGAAATTCATAAAACTTTGGCTTTAAAACTACTTATAAAATTATATTTTGTTTTTCTGTTTCTCTTGGGTTTGGGGAATGAGACTTTTTGTATTTCTATTCACTCTTCAAATTCAGGTGCCATAACTATGGGTTGATGATATAAGATAATGGAGGCCTTTGTAATAAAAACAGATGTCATCTTCAATTTGTTCAATAAATAATTTAATGTGAACTTAATGTTTATAGTTAATGTAGCATTTTGGTGTTGAATGCATTTCTTGAAAGTAACTAAAGCTCTCTGTGTTCTTTTTATTTAATTAAACAACTTATACATATCTTTGGAAATTAAAACATCAGGGGGTTTTTTATGAGGTTCATTTAATTTCTAGTGTCAAGGAATGTATGAAAAGGACCCCAGAATAAATGGAATTATATTTTGGAGGGTTGGCCCATTGTAGTACAGGCTACCCCTGCTAAGTGCGTGTTCTAGGAGCGCATCTGTGTCAGTGCACCAGCTGGCATTGTTGTGAGAGGCTGCATTCAGCCTCAGTGAATTTTCTTTTTGAAGACGCTTTCAACATGTCTAACCATTTCATAATGGGTGATTTACCAACACAGTTGCCCACACTGCCCTGAGTGTTCAGCAGTTTTTGACCAAAAATGACATCACTCCCATGCCCTACCCTCTCTATTTACCCCATCTCACCCTGAGTGACTGTTCTTTTGTTTCCTGGGTGAAAAAAGTCCTCAAAGGGAAATGTTC